GATACGCAGGCTCAAGATATATGTGAGACCCAAGAACACAGCTATTTCATTTGGAAAAGTAGCTGGCACAAATAAAAGACTGTCTCATCTGTTTTGTGTTCCATATTCCTGCCTAGTCACTAAGGAACACTCGAGAAGCCCATCATAAAATTCAGCTTCATTCTGTTTTAATGGCTAGCCTGTCTTCAGTCTGCAAATTGCACAACCATTTTAGAACTGTTATTTATTTCAAATCATGTATCCTATTTTATGACCCTGAGAGATTTTCTAGGCAACAGCATAAGAAAAACAGCAGCAGTGATCAGTCTCACTTCAGTGGGATTATGCTGTCTTATATTATACATCCTTGAAACTGATCATTCATTCTGATCACTCAGGCTTGCTGGCCTCTACATCTGTGTAAACTTTGCTAGATGGTTGCAGATACTGTTTCTGTACTCTAGAGAAACCCTTGTATGGAGGTATTCTGTGCCAGCTTCTGGAGGATCTCCATGTCCTTTCAGAACACTCAGTTCCATGAAATGTGATATGTTGCTTGATAATGTATGCAATTTTTAAACCTTAACACATGTTGGCTGGATAGTGTATGATATCTAGTTCAGGTGTCATGTTTTTCCTCCAACGCCCCATGGAATTACAGTCAGTGTGCCTTATCTGGGAGCTTTCACCTGTCTGCTGTGATATGTGAGGTTCTGTCTTCACACTAGCAGCTGCCAGAATGGGGTTGGGGTGAGGGAAAACAGATAAGACAGGCGGTTGAGAGAATATGCTAACTATGGAGAAGCAGGCCCTTCCCATCATAAAGGCCAGAAAGTTCAGACAGCCCATCTGGGTTTGCATCTGGCATCTATGTTTTGAACTCTTCTCTAACACTGATGCAGTTTTACTTTTAAACTCCCAGGAGGCCTATACAATATTGACCGTGTTTGTGTGTTCTTCAGAAAAGGAGAAAACTTTGTTATGGAATCAAGTGGGAGAAATGCAGGAGGGATGAGACTATATTAAACCTGAAAGAGGATATTTGATGGGGGGGGACTTTTTTTTTTTTTAAAGCAAAGGGTTCTAACTATATTAAATTTCTAAGTTTATAAGAAATTGAATAACTCAGTGGTTTAGGCATCTTGCTGCAGAACCAGGGTTTGGGAGTTTTCCCCCACTGTGCCTCTCGGGAGAAGAGTCAGCCTGGAAAACCACTTCTGACTATTCTCTATCTCAAAAGAAAAACAACAACAACAACCCTGGAAAGTGTTGCCATAAGCTGGACTTAACTTAATAGCACACAATTATTAATTATTATTAATTGTTCATAACTATTGTGCCCAATCATGAATTCAACGTCTCTCTTTTTATTTGTCTATGTGTATTGTGTGTGTACCATTGTAACATTATTAATCTGTGTTCAATCTGTTTTCATGTTGGAGGCAGAGATGGAGAATTTCCCCCAAGAAAAAGGAGCAGAAGGTGCTGGCAGGAGCCAATAGAGCTTGAGCGCCTGGCTATGAGAATCGTCAGATCCAGGTGCAAAGGGAGAAGTAGCTAGGAAATTTTCCTATGTTGTGGCACAATTTATTTTCCTAGAATATCAAAGGGTCCTCAGAGTCAGGCATTTAGGGAGTAGCTGGCTCTGGATATACTCTTCCTCATCAAGAATGAGAAAATATTTCTATGTACATCTGGGAGCTGTAATACAATTGTATTTTTAGAGGAAGAGAAGCCCACGTATGTCAGCAGTTTTTACAACATAATTATTTCCTGCAAGGAATATTGAGATTGGGAATCCTAACCAGGGTTACATCTCTTCAGAAATAATCTTTAGGTTAAAATATCCACCAAAGATCCATTGAGCATAACTGTCTCAGTTAAGCACTAGTAAAATATGCCAGAATTACGGACTATGTAAATTTGTCCAAACATATATAAGCAATGGCATTGAGGGGGTCAATAAATACTATGCAACACTTGCATGTGTTTTGCACATACAAATATTTCCACTACAGAGGAATTTAAGCCAACATTTTTCCAGAGCAATGGTATCAGTTGATGAAGGCTTACAGACCTAATCCCTTGTCTAAACAGAAGCTGACTATATGAATGGTTCCTGAGATGATAAGCCTAGAACCAGCCTGAGAATCAGCAAGCAAAACCTGTGAGCATTCACAGAGCAGAGAGAACTCAGCCTCACACTGATTCCATGACACAGATCTCAATGGAAAAAATGGTCAGTTGCATTGACCCTAGTATCACCTCAATAGGCAGGCTGGTAGAATGCAGACAAGCATAACTAATGTCACTGATGACACTGTAGGTAGATACATGTTCTTACTGTCATTGGACTGGAACCAACTATCTGACATGCTAGATAGAAATACATTTTGCTAGTCATTCTGGATGACAGGTTGACATAAATGGAAGCCCTTGAGGATTAGAAGGGTAAATGGCAACCAAGAAAACAGTAACTGATTATACTCTGCAACTAGCATGACTTCTGAATTCCATCACACAGAGGTGTGTGTGTGTGTGTGTGTGTGTGTGTGTACTGTATGTATGTATCTATGCATGCATGCATGCATGCATGCATGAATGTATGTATGTATGCATGCAATTGTTGTTGTTGTTGTTGTTGTTGTTGTTGTTGTTGTTGTTGTTGTTGTTATTATTATTATTATT